AAAAAAAAAAAAAATTGAAAAAGGTTATTCATCCATACAACTCCATACACTGATCATTTCTGCACAGAATATCCTCAGAAAGGTACATAAAAAACTAGTAATTTGGGCAAGAGCTGGCTGACCAGGGACAGAGCAGATAGATTTTTCAGCATATCCTCTTCCATATATTTTGAACCATATAAATGTATTATCTATTCCTGTTTTTTTTCTTCTTTTTTGTTTTTTGCTTTTTGAGACTGGGTCTTCCTATGCAGTTCAGTCTAGTGTTAAGCTCACTTTGTAGCCTAGACTGGCCTCGAACTCACAACAATCCTCCTGCCTCAGCCTCCCCAGTGCTGGGATTACAGGCATGCGCCACCACGCCCAGCTTTTTTTTTTTTTTTTGGTACCAGGAACTGAACTCAGGACCTTGCACTTGCCAGGCAGGTGCTTATGCCACTGAGCTAAATCCCCGGCCCATATTCCAAAATAATAAATTGCAATGAAAAAAAAAGGAAGGAAAAGAAAAGAGTGGCCTGGGAATGTGATCTGGTACTGTCAACCTGAAGCCACAGTGAGGATCTGTCCATCTGATGATGGACAGGTGTGCACCATCATGCCTGGCTCCATGCACTGCTTCTTATGTTGTTGTTTTTGTTAGCACTGGGCGAAGGCAGGCACTGTACAAACTGCAGCTCTTAATAGTTTCTCTTAATCCCCAGTTCTTTACTTTGTAAACCAGAAGAAGCCCACACCATACTAGGAATAAAAGGACAGGCCGTGTCTTCCGAGCAGCCCAGTCTCAAACGCTCCCATGCAGCTCTTTCCCGTCTGCTCCTTTGGCATTTAGAATGAAGAGCGGAAGACACTTCCTCGGAGTCAGCTCCCAAGGGCTCCACGAAACACGTGGGCTGAGGGCCCGGGAAGGCCACACCAATTCCAGGACTCAGTGTGTGGGAGAAGCCACACATCAGTGACCCGGGAATGTGGGAATGGAAGTCTAGGCGTGGCATTCACAAGTCCCTAAACTGCAAAGCTCAGTTCTGTTGCCAGGAAGAATAGCACATTTTAACCAAATAATTGAGCTTTTGCTTTCAAACTTCAGTCTCTTCCTATTACCTCTTCTTGTCCTAACCTCTGGGGATAAAGGCTAAAGGCTAAAGGATACCGATCTCTGCCAGGATTTACCCTTCCAACCTTATGGACAGGAAGCTCCACCTACTAAGATCTCCCAGGAGGCATTCTGCAGAGACAGCTAGATCCCTGATGCCTCCCAGTCCCCAGCCGGAGGAGAAGCCGGGGAGTTAAAGCACCCTTACGATTTCTGCAGCTCTAGTAAGTGACGGCGCCGCTCACTCTGTTCCAAGGAGTTATACTTGGACTTGTACTGGGACAGGCGGGGGTGGGGGGTGGCTGTGCTGTTCAGATCTTGGGACACAGAGAAGCTACCGGCCAGGGCTTGACTTAGCTCCTCCATCTTCCCTGCAAAGCAAAACAAAGGAAAATGGTTCATTCATTCGTGTCATCCCATGTACAGGCAGTTATGATGTAACATGATGGTCACTTTCCTAAAAACCCCACTGTTGTCTTTTTTTTGGCTTTTTTTTTTTGCGGTACCGGGAATTGAACTCATGATGTCGCACTTGCCAGGCAGGCGCTGTGCCGCTGAGCTAAATCCCCAGCCCCTAAACCCCACCATTGTCTCCAGGAGAAAAAAACGGAAGTTAAAGGGTAAATGAGTTACATATTAGCAATGCCATGTTACTGTGTAATAATATTTCATTATTGCAATGGTTAATTCGATAGCTCTGAGTATACACACTTACATATCAATTATCAATCACTAAACAAATGTATACCTTGATTGAATCTTCTTATTCCCCATCTCCATGAGCCCTGTCATTTGTGGTTTTTAAGGAGAGGCTTATTTTGGCTCATGTGCCAATCTTCCTTTACCACCATTGATATGATCAAGCATCTCATATTTTTTGTTTGTTTGTTTTTGTCTTTTTGAGACAGGGTCTCGCTATGCAGTTCAGGCTGGCCTTGAGCTCACTCTGTAGCCCAGGCTGGCCTCGAACTTGCAACGACCCTCCTGCCTCAGCCTCCCGAGTGCTGGGATTACAGGCATGCGCCACCATGCCCAGCCTCATTTGTTTTTAGTAGTTCTAAATAGCCATTGCTAAGTAACAAAACTTTCACTGAGCACGGTAGCACACATCTGCAATCCCAGTACTCAGGGGAATGTGGGAGGAAAATTGCTGCAACTTTGAGGATGGCCTGGGCTACACAGTGAGTTCAAGGCTAGCCTGGACTGTATAGTGAGGTTCTGTCTCAAAAAACCACACCCCCACACAAAAGCAATAAAACTCTCTCATGCAAATTGTATGCAACTGGTTGTTAAATTCTGTTATAAATACCAATTCATATTAAGGAAATTTAGTTCCATATTAGCACAAAAACAGGCATGTGGATCAATGGAACAGACTAGAAGATGGAGAAACAACCCCAGGCACATTTAGCCATCTGATATTTGACAAATGGGCCAAAAAACACATGCTGGAGGAAAGATAGCCTCTTTGATGTTATTTCTAATGGTTATGTCAGAACCCCCGTTGCATAAGAAATAACATTAAGCATCAACAAATGGAATCATATCAAATTAAAGGACTCCTGCACAGCAAAGGAAATAACCAACAGAATGAAGAAACCACCTACAGAATGGGAAAAAATTTTTGCCAGCTACTCCTTGGACAGAAGACTAATATCTAGAATATATAAAGAACTCAAAATAATTGGACTTCCCAAAATAAAAGACCCAATCAAAAAAATGGACAACTAACCGGACATGGTGGCATATGCCTGTAATCCCAGAACTTGGAAGGCACAGGCAGGAAGATCGTTGTGAGTTTGAGGCCAGCCTGGGTTACAAAGTGAGCTCAAGACCAGTGAGACCCTGTCTCAAAAAAAAAAATAAATAAATAAAATTTAAAAATAAAAAAAACCACTTTACTACCTAAAAACAAAACCAAAAAAATGGACAACTAGCTGGGCATGGTGGCGTAAGCCTGTAGTCCCAGCAGTTGGGAGGCTGAGGCAGGAGAATCGTGAGTTCAAAGTCAGCTTATGCTACAAAGTGAGCTCAAGGCCAGCCTGAACTGCAGTGAGATCTCAAAAAGACCAAAAAAAAAAAAAAAAAAAAGAAAGGACCAAGGGTGTGGCTTAGAGGTAGAGTGGCTGCTTACTACGTGAAAGGCCCCGAGTTTGAATCCCAGCACCACCAAAAGCAAAACCAAAA